GGCCTGCTCAAGCCATGACTTGCCACATTCTTGGGTCTGGGGTGGCCGAGCCCCTGACCTGCGGGCCCTGTGTGAGCCGCCGCACCGGTATCCTTCACACCAGCACTGGGACGAGGAGGCCAGCGTGTCTCCACTGCAGCGTCTCCTCCGGCCAGGGGGTGGGTACGCTGGCCCAGCACCCACGCCTGCCACCAGCCTTCGCCAGTGTGCGGGGACAGGCAAATCCCCGTTTATCAGCTGAGCTCTATCTGCAAAGCCTCCCTTCGTTTCTGAGCCAAATGAAATACAGGATTTAGCAGAGATTTCCCATCTGCTGAGCAGGGCCGCTGACCTGGCAGAGCTGCTGCCGCCCACGAGGTCGGGGGTGGGCAGAGGGCGCCCAGCTCTTCCTACGGTGACACGCTCGCACTGGGGTGTCCCTGGGCCACACCGTACTCCTGACCTCTGCTCCGGGCACACAATGGAGACGGGCCCAGAGAGGCCAAGGGTCGCCTCGCACTGAGACCCCAGCAGGCAGTGGGGATGGCAACGCTGCACCCAGATACCGGGGAGACCAGGGACTGACCCCAGGGTGGTAGGAGAGCAGCCCTGTGGACCCAGCCCTAAGGGTGGAACGGAAGGAGTGGCCAGGGAGACAGGCTGCCCTGGACCCCAAACCAAAAGCAGATTTGGGGCAATTTCACGCCCTCACCAGCCGGCAGGGTCCGGCCCCAGGTCCGGCCCCAGCTTCGGCCTGAATCCACTCAGCCCTAGGCTCAGCAGAGCGCGCCCTGTGACGGCAGCCCCTCGGCAGTCCCCACATCACCACAGGGCCTGGGGCACGCCGGCTGTGCGCTGAGGTCAGGGCAGGCCCCCATTCTGCAAGTGGTGCGAACCAGGAGTTGCGGACGGGGCCTTTGAGTGCCTGCAGATGGAGTCCAACGGCCCAGAGCCACGTGAAGGACATGGTGGCCACCCCGCCAGGTGCCATCGGAGGTCACCTGGGGGCTTGAACGCTCCCTCAGTCCAGACACCAACCAGTACAGGCAGGCCACTGCAGCGAGGGAGCCCTCAGCTCCCGAGTCACTGGGCAGGTCCCCATCCCACAGCTGTGGGAAGGACTCCCAGGACTCCAGGAGGCTCACCCCCCACACCCTGCAAACCCTGGCACCTTCTCTCCCACTGCCCGGGGGCTTCCCCAACATGCAAGTCCCCCATCCCACGAGGCTGGAGGAGGAAGCAGTGTCGGGCCACCAGCCCCACAGGGAGGGGCTACGGGGAGGGTCACTCCTGTTGCTGGGCCCAGCGGAAGTTGGGGGGGGGGGCTCCTTGGGCAGCTGAGGTGGCAGGTGTGACGCCTGACCCTGCCCTCACCTCCCTACCCCAGCAATTACAGGACACACCTGACCCAGCCCACAGCCACATGGTACCGACAGAGGCCACCTGCTGGTCAGCACAAGGGACCCTGGGACAGGAGTGGCCCCCCAGGACTCTAAATCAGTGCCCGTACAGCAGGGCCTGCCCTGTCCCCCACCCTCCTGCTGGCCTGGGTGGCCCATGGCTGGGCTTGGCTCAGCCACGTGGAGGCCACAACCCCGGGCAGCCCAGCAGAGGCTGTGGGAGCACTCAGAGGCCAGAGATGCCCAAGGCTCCGGGAACATCCTCAGAACACTTTGTCAGCACTCGAGCGATGAAGCATGTGCCGGCGGAGATGAGGCTGGAGAGCAGGTGGGGCACACACCCCAGGCCGGGGCCCCTTCTCCCCAGCCCGCGTCCTGGCGCCTGCACC